GCCTCTCCCTCACCCTGACCTCCAGCTCCCCCATCCACTGGGACAGGCGGGCAGGAAGAGCACGTGGGGCTTTTCCTGCTGGGAAAGAACCACCCGAGGAGGCATGGAGGGCCCAGCGTGAGAAATTAGGGAGTAAAGAAAGGCTGGCTGAGGAACCAAGGAGAGGGACATGGGGGAGGGTTAGGAGAGACTAAGCCCCAGCAGCACAGCCAGTGCCCTGCAGAGGACACAGCAGTCATTTTTGAGTCAGAAAACGCGGCTTCTCATCTCAGTTCTGCAAATGTGTGATCTCGGAGAGAGAACCCACCCCGTGCCCAGCACCCACCTCCCCTTCAGACCCCCGTCCTCCCACTGCGCATGGGGGGCAAGACTGCACCAGAGCTTTGCAAAGAACGACTCAAGGAATGGAGGCCTCCAGGGCTCCAACAGCACCAATTATTTCCCTTCAAATAACACGTGTCTCACTGCTTGAGGGACCCGTTTTCCATGGAAAGTTCTACATATAAAATGATTTTTCTTCAAAAAAAAAATTGGAAAGGACCAGCATCATTTGGACGGTCCTTCGGCTGTAAGCGGCTGTGATTTGTTGACGGGGACATCCTCACACTGCCTTTCCCTCTGCCGGGACACCACTCCCACCCCACTCTCTCTAAGTCCCCTCCTAAGAATCAATCTCCTTCTGCCCAGTGTCCTGACCTCTCTTTTGCTCCGTCCTAGCTGGGACCCCTTCCATGGGAACTCTAATTGTGCACGTCTGTGTCTGTCTCTCGCTGGATTGTGCCTCTCGGGAGGCTTTTCTTAGCCACTTGCTAACTAGACAGCGAGGAGGAGGACAGGAGCTAAGGAGTGGCCTCTCCACACGGGAGGGTTCCCCGAGCAGCTGGCTGTCGCCGACGCTAGTTTTCTAAATCATAACAGGAAACATTTCTTTGGCCCTTTTGCTGTCATAGTTATTATCTCAGATAATTGGATCCCAAGTGGCAATTGGGGTCATCCCTCGACCTTTCCGATGAAATGGATTCTACTCAAACTCTCTTCCCAGTGCTGGGGAGACCCGGGCTCCTGGGTGCTCCGGGAGGACAGCACGGGGAGGCTCCCAGTCCTCCTGGCCACCGCCTGCTGCTGCTCAAGCACTTCAGTTTGGGGATCACTTCACTGATGCTTTTTCCCAAGGCAAAGGGACAGCCCCAGTTCCTTCCCTCACGAAATGCCAGTGTCACAAGCCCAGAAGGTTGTCTCAGTAGCTGACGGGATGGTGGAGGTTTCCACCGAGCCCAGCAGACTACTGGTTCCTGAGGGCAGTTGTGAGGCCTCGTCTGTCACCGGAGCTTCTGCTGCAGGCTGCACCTTCCTCGCCGCTCAGCTCCTTCTTCCTCCCGCAGCCGCCTCGCTTTTCCCTCCGGGGCTTGTGCATCCCTCAGGTCCTGTTCACTCCCGCACAGAGCAGCTTCGCTGTTCCACCTTCTGACTGCAGAGCGCAGCCTCCGCTCTCCTCCAGACCTGAGGCACCCATCGAGGGGTTCCCCAACAATGACCCCCTTTCCCTCAGGGGGGCACTGGTAGTAAATAAGATGAACATTCTTCTACACCCGCACTTCATCCTCACAAAAACCTGGTACAATATTGTCCCCATGTGACTGAGAGAGAATTGGGGACTTCTGCAAAGTCACCGAGATGGTCCAGCAGAGCCACCACTGGAGCTCAGATGGCTGAACCCCCAGCCCAGGCTCACGCCCTCCCATACCTTCTGCTGCAGATCCCGCAGCTGGCTGTTTGTGGTGTGCTGCTGGTCTTCTGCCTCCTGGAGTTCTTCACTGCATGTGTCTCTTCCCACTTTGGCTGCCAACTGGTCCGCAGTCAATTCAACAACGTGAGTCCTGGGCCTCCTCAGTGGGTGGAAAGATGCCCCAAAGGGGGTGGAGCCCAGAGGGGTCTTCACGTTTCTGCTCCCTGCCCAGGAGCAGGAGGAGCCTGCAGTGTGTAAGGCCTCGGTCTGTGCCCACTCTTCTCTCCCCCTTATTCATGTGCCTCTTGTGTGCCTGTGTTTTCCAGGTCACCCTGATCTACCCAAATCTCTACACAACAAACCCAGTGGTCATCCCAGAACCAGCGAACTTGCCGCCCTATTATCCCCATGATCTCCAAGGCTCCAGATAAGCAAAGCTAAAGATTCCAGAAGCACCTTTCACTGGGAACAAAAGAAGTCCTCCATTTTAGGGCTTCCATAACCCAGGTTCTTATTTTCCTGGCAAACTGAGGAAAATGTCTCTCCAGCCCCTTGATCCTGGACTTTATTCTTCCATTCAGCCTGGGAAATCGTGCTGTTCTGCTTTTAAAAAGCAGATAGGAATTTTAAATGGACTTAACACAGAGGCCCCCCTGAGGGCATGTGCACCACCCCACCTGTGTGCATGTGGTCATCCACACATGGGGCCTTCGTGCACACACATCCGTGTGCTTCACTGAATGTGAGCATATGGCTGGGAGGAACAAATATCTCAACACCCAATCATCACTCTTTCAGTGGTTCATTCACTTAATAGACATGTATTGAGCATTTGATGTGTTCAAGGCTCTTTTTGTGGCAGGAGGAGGGTGAACATTGGTGAACATGACATACTCCTTGACCTCAAGGAGCTTCTGGCCTCAGGAGAGAGGACCCCATGTGAGCGATTTCACCAGGATGTGGCAGTATGGAGGGGATACGCAGAGGGACACAGAGGTGGAAGGGATTTATTCAGGCACAGAGACAGATGTGATTTATTTGGGCAGCAGTGAGGGATGAGGAAAGCAGAGAACAAGCTTGGCTGAGGAACAACACGTGAGCAGGGCATCAAGGCACAGTGAGGGCTTTTCAATGTAATCAGGAAGCACACTCTTTGGAAGACCTCTGGAGACAGTGAGTCATCCACTAAGCTGCTCAGGCCTGTTCTATGCTGATACCACCGGTGTGACAGGACTCATGAGTGTACAATGTCTTCAGATCAGAAATCTTCCAGAGTCATGAGGCTAGTACACCATCATTCATAAAAGGATAAGGACTGATTCCCAAGAGAGATGGTGGTGTCTATAACTTATGTATTCACAGATGGTAATTAGCTATTGTTATCCATGATGCCCAACTGGCATCCGAAAGGTTACTTTCTGATGAGTTATAGCAATAATCTCTAAAGTCCGGGTGCTGTCAAATTTTCCTTTGCTGAATTTCTCCCCCAGTTCCCCATACACTGAAGACACTGCTCCCACCAAAGTCACCAGTGCCCTCCAATTTGCAAAGCCCAGTAGTCTTTTTCTGACCTTATCTTACTTGACTTCTTCAGGATTTGATACAACAAACCACTCTCTCCTTAAAACACCATCTCGGCTGGTTCTGGTCCAGCTTCTGCAGATGTTCCTCCTCCTCTCCTGTAGGAGCGACTTTTTCTCCTCTTGTGCCTCCAGTATGGCGTTGTCCTTGGCCTGCTTCTCAGACAATGCACTCGAGCCCATCTCTTGGAGCTGTTAGGAGATTCAGATGTGCTCATCAGTGCTAGAAGGTGCTGCCAAGGGGTTATACCAGTCAGACCCTGCGTCCCAGGTCTCACATTCCTCCAACTTTGAATTTCTTCTGAAATAGGGCATCCTATTTCCTGGTTGGTGTGCCTGCCACCCGGGTAAGCTAAAGTGCCACTTCCACAGGGAAGCCGTCTGAAGCTCTGTGTGAGATAGGAAAAACCAAAATCTTCCCTCCTCTCACACTCAATACGTCTAGTCACCGAAGCCTGTGGAGATTTTCCCCACACTGACCAATTCTCCAGCGAACACTAACTGGATGTCCTATAATTCGGTTCAATTCTGACACTCTCCACCTAGAGTTAGAGTCAGCCCCCACAGGTTATGGTCTCAGTTCCACAAGACCACCCCCACTCCAAGTGCCAATTACAAGCCTGGGCTCTGAAACTTCTGGCCAACTGGTTCTAAATTAGAGGTTCCCACCATCCCCTCTTCGGATTCAATTGCTAGAGGGGCTCACAGAACTCAGGAAAGAGCTTTACTTACATTTACTGGTTTTTTTATAAAGGATATTACAAAGGATACAGATGAACAGCCAGATGGAAGAGATGCATAGTGCAAGCATGGGACTCCCCTGGCCTCTAGGAACGCCACTCTCCTGGTGTTCAGCAATCCAGAAGCTCTCTGAGCCCTGGAGTCTAGGGCTTTTTATAGAGACTTCATCACACAGGAATGACTGATTAGGAACTCAGTTGTCAGCCCCTCCCCCTTCCCAAAGGGTGGGGTCTGGGGCTGAAAATTCCAAGCTTCTACCCATGGCTTGGTCTTGATGATGACCAGTCCCCATCCAGGAGCCCACAAAGAGTCAGCTCAGGAGGACAAAAGGTGCTCCTGTCACCCAGAAAATTCCAAGGGATTAGGAGCTTTGTGTTAGGAGCTGGGGTCAAAACCCAAATATTAGAACAAAGACGTACCTAGCATCCCTATTGCTCAGGAATATGCAAGGGTTTTAGGAGCTCTGTGCCAGGAACTGGGGCAGAGACCAAATATATGTATTTATTATGTCACAGGTTCCTACAGCCACAACCTCCAGGCAAAAGCATCCTGTGGTGGGAGCCAGGGAGGGGGGTGCACAATGTGATCCCCCAGTGATGACATTGAGTTTAACCTTGAGAATTTTTTTGTCTTGCCTGAAAAAAAAATTTGATTTTTGTATTGTGACTAAAAAAATTTTTTTTAAAAAAGAACTGTGGCTTTATTTTTTTCAGTAGCCAATTCACACTCACAGCATTCACAGCTCCTCCAACCTCCCTGAGCACTTTGGCACATTACACTGGGAAAGTGTGTTTAGTCTTGAAAGGCACATTACAATGTCTGGGGGTCTGTCCATCAGGAAAGACAGCAGCTCCCCAGGACCGCCATCCCAATGCCGTGCTGTGACCTATGCCCCCTGCCCTTTCCTTCCCAGGACTCTTGCTGCCTGCAGTCTGTGCCATCCCATTGTGTGGATGCACCAGCTGCTGTGGGCAATTTGAGCCTCCTGGGCACAGACATGATGGCTTCACCAGCTCCCAGCTCTCCTGCCTGGCCCAGGATAAGCCTCGGTACATAGCGGCTACTTTCCGGGAATATTTGCTAGAATAAAAATTATCATCTTCCTTACAGAAAAGAAAGCCAACATATCCATCCACTGAGTCATTCGGCAATAAGCAGTGCCTACTGCATGCCAGGTCTGGGCTAAACAGTGGTGCATAAACAGATGTAGTCCCTGCCCTCCCGGAGATGGCGTGCCAGTGTGGGAGCCAAGCAAGTCACAGGGTCACCTAAGTGAAGAAAAGTGGGATGAGAGACACAAATGGGCCGTTCATATAGACAGTGCTGGGGAGGGGGAGGAGGGGATAGAGTTTTAGAAGAAAAGGCCTCTGTAAAGAAAGGCTAGTTAACCCAAGACATGTAGGATGGGAAGCAGCTAGCCACACGGAACGTGCAGTGAGACCCTCGGGCACAGAGGACGCTTGTGCAGAGCTGCTCAGGCAGGAAGGAGCTCAGGGTGTTCAGGAACTGAAAGAGCATGGAATTCAGCTGGGGAGACAAGAAGGTCTCAGGTGGGGCTGGAAAAGCAGGCAGCGGCCACAGGAAGGGTTTGGGTTTTATTCTAGGGCTGAAAGCCATCGGATGATTTTAAGCAGGAGAGAGATGTAACCTGGTATTTAGAGATCATCCTGCCTGCTTTGCAGGCAATGGATCAGAGGAGAGTGAAGGCAGGAAACGGGGAGGCCTGGAGGACCCTTAGTGATAGTCCAGGACAGAGCTTGGCACACTAAGGCCTGTGGGCCAAATGCAGCCCACCTCCTGTTTTTGTAAATAAAGTTTTATTGGAACACAGCCATGCCCATTTGTCTACCTATTGTCCCTGGCTGCTTTTGCACTACAACAGCGGAGTTTGGTAGCATGATGGAGACCGCACAGCCAGCAAAGCCTAAAACGTTTACTATCTTGCCCTTTACAGAAAAGGTGTTTGGGTTCTTGTGTGTTTTTGTTGTTGTTTTATTGTAACATAGTTGATCGTACGTATCTGTGAGTTACAGAGTTGAATATCAATACCTTTGTGCAATGTGTGATGTATAAATCAGGATAATTAGTATATTCAACAATATACAACCTAACCATTCCTCGTGGCCCTTTACTAATTCCTCTCTTAACTGCCTTCTCCCTTTCCCACTCCCGGTAACCTCAGCAGAAAATGTTTTTCCACCCTGGAGATTGGTGATAATGGTGATGATAAAGTCACTGTCCTTTGTGTTCCAGTATCAGGATGTTCCAAGTCACTTGCTCACAGTGGGGATGAAATGGCTGTGATCCACCCCTCCTCTCCTGACCTTGATGATTAGAGACTCTCCTGGTGAAACAATTAAATGGAATCTGTAAACCTGCAGCCAAGGTCAGGGAAGTGCACAGAGAGGTAGGTGCTCTGTAAATGTCTCAGGAATGCCTGGAGTAGGGGTGACAGTGGAAACCCAGAGGCAGATTTGGGATATGGTTTGCAGGTGAAAACCTTAGAGCTCATGGATGGGTCACACTGTGTATAGGGCACTGAGGAAGAGGGGGAAATTGAAGATAATGTCAAGGTTTCTGGTTCAAGTAACTGGGTGACAGTCATTTACTGAGATGGAAAAGGCTGGAGGAGGTAAAAGTGTCAGAAGAAACACAAAGATTTTAGTAATATTTCCCTCAAGAACTTACAGGAGCATAGAATTTCAGAGGTGGCCAAGAACTTAAAGACAGTATAGCCTAACACAATTTGATGCTTGAACATCCCCTATGATTTCCCCTAGACCTCCACTATCAGCACCACCTGGGAGCCTGTTCGAAGTGCACATTCTTTGGCCCCACCCAGACCTACCAAATTATAAACTGCAGATGGGGCCGAGCAGCGTTTTCACAAGCCTGTCAGGTGATTCCCAGGCACACTCAAGTGAGACTACCA